AGTCCAAACAATGCGTTTTACTATATTTGGAAGAAATGTTTTATTATGCCAGCTATTCCTGGTGCCAGCAGAAGACTCTTTTGACGGTGAAACAGAACAGGCCTACGCTTCTCAAAAATGGCTAGTCATCTGGAGCACATCACTTGGTTGAGCACGGGCTAATGGTTTCACGTGATTGACTTACTGTGCCTTAATCGGCCACCTCTTGTCTGCTCAGCAGTCATAACTCGCCGTGTTCATACCCAGAGCACATCAGAGCTGTGTGTTAAAGCATCTTTGCCTAACCCCCCCCAGAGCTGTGTTAAGTCAACTACTTGCACTTGTCTATCCATTATTTCAGTGCCCAATTTAAGACATGTCAAAAGAGCCTGATTAGTCGGGAAGTGTAGCGCTCCCAGCCGCTGAAAATCAGACGCCTTTAAATTGTTTCCAAGTCAAGATCCAAAATTACGAGTCGTTTTGAAACATTAGGATACAGCAAGAAAAGGTTTAAAGAGTGTGTTTCAGTCTGCTTCTCAAATTGCAAAACACAAAAATGGAAAAGTGTTTATCCTGAAAACGTTTTACAGATTCTTTCATTATCTCCACATTCACTACGAACTCTGGTACCACAGCTGGCCACTGAACACCTGCTGATGCTGACAGACTATATACAACCAGCTCAAATGCCCAATATATAAGAAGGGGTGGATATTCGGTTACCTGTACAGCCCACATTGACCACCATCATAAGAAAGTTCCAAACTTCATTAACTAATAAAGAGGCAGAAATACTTCTAGGCAGACATTCAATTCCATTACAAGACAATATCAGAGCAGTCCGTTTCCTTCTGCTTCTCATCATGCACCCAGTCCTGCGAGGTGCTGCATGCCCTCCACGGGTGGAGGGGAGAACTGGAGCCTCTGGCTAGATCCATCTCGCGTTCTCCTAACACGTTGAATGCCGAATGCCCGGGTGGTGTGAGGTCTTTTGTGCTGCTTGCCTCAGAGTCGTGATACACATCTATTTAAATACCACTTAGTGATTCCTAGCATGTGGCTGCTCAGTCCATGTTTGATTTTAATGGAAAAAGACAATTGTAGCAATGTGAAAAAGTAAAGGGCTAGACGTGGCCTATCAGCATTGACAGCACATGCCCTTTTCCTGGCACACCATGCTGGGCATTAAGTGTTACAGGCAAAATATATCACAGGGTGTGCTTTTCCTCAAACCAGGAGATTTTTATTTAAAAAACAAACCCTGAAGAAATGAAAATATTCCAAGGTGAGTCTAAGATTTCTATACATACAGAGTAAATATCCTGAGGTAATACATCTGGTTTGAAGAAATAAGAAGTTTTCTATACAAATAGGAAAACCTAAAAAATCTGGCTGTTGGTACACAGCTTCTGTAATAAACAAACCCAAATAAAGCCTTTACTGTGACTGCATGCTCTGAATGTACCCAGGCAGATCTATTTTCCCAGCTTTGCCACCACGGAAAACCAGCAGAATAAAATAATACTGTCAATGGGAAACTTTAGAGTGAATTAGTATTTTCAGCTCAAAGTCTGGGACTGGCCACACCTGTTTCTCATGGAACAACTAATTTTTATCTCAGGAGCAGAATGATGCACGTCTGGGTTGAGCTGATCTGTCCTGGGGTGGAAAGAGCTTGGGGCTTGATGACACTTCAAGGTCCCATCCAGACCCAAATGCTCACATGCTGTTCTTCTACTCCTCAAGCTGCTAAGGACATCTCACACTTCTGTAGCTCTCTAAAGCAGCTCCTGGTTTATAACTCCCATCACTCCTTTATGACCCTGGAAGTAGGACAAAGTCAGAAATGGTAACATTGGCTCTTTCTTGCAGAAACACTTGACCTCCTCAAATAAGCCTCCATAAGGAAAGTAAGGGAGGTTTCCCTTCTCCTGCTGTGTGAAGACACAGCTGGCCACAGCAGCAACCTGTTACCACTGGTTTTCAGGGAACTCTAACCAATTTTCACCCAGAAAAGAACATGGCATGTCTCACTGCATTTCATCCCCAAGAACCAAGATCATAAAACTGCAGCTGAATTCCCTGGTTCCTAAACGTACCCTTGCATACAGGGAGAAACAGGCATTGAGCATGGAAAGTGCCCTTTGCAGGTCCTGATTTTGGGGCTGGCTTCCAGCCATGTGGTATGACACTGAGCCACAGTTCCAGGCAGAAGAAACTAATAGGCAGTTTGTAACTCCAACAGCTCACCTTGTGCAAGGCCCAAACTCTTGCATATCATCACTGCTACTCTGCATGACACTAACTAGTTCCACTAACTGTTCTTATAAAGAAAAAATCCCCTTGCATCATTTCATTAACAAAGTTATGAATGAAAAGCATAACAAAGTTAATGAAATGCATCAAAGTTCCTAGAATGAATGGTATCCTAAAAGTTTTCCATTTATAAATGGTCTGTTTAAGTCACATCGGCATTTCAGTTGCAATCTCAATTAATAAAATAATTTGCTGAGAAGCAGAGAAAATGATCAGTGAGATTTCTAATGAACCAACACTTAAGAGAATGCTTTAAGAAACAAGGGAAGAAAGTAAAGCCTGCTTGTAGACATCAGTGAGTCTACTGCTTTGCTGGGGTCACCTTGTTGCAGTAAAGCCTCAGATTCCAGCAGAAGTCTCTACTTTAGCTTTTTTCCCTACTCTGTCAATCAGGCAGGCTTGTTGCCAACCCCCAGCTGATAAGACAGAACCACTGGCAATATAAATTACTTTTATTGCTAAATCTTATTGTACATTTTCCACCTGACTATTGTCACAATAAATCTATGTGAGCTCTACCATCCATTTTAGCAATTTTTTTCCTGAAACTAAGAATTCCACAGAAATGCAATTATCCAAGCAAAATAGCTGCCTGATGGTGGTATTGGCTAAGGATGGAAAAAGGGTCTGCAAAAAAATTTAGCCAGGCATGAATCTGAATGTTCTTACTGCAGGTCTGACAGGCTTTGAAAGAGAATGACAAATCCTGCAGCACAGTCTCTCTTGAACGAGGCATGCTCCAAGCATCGAGTAAATGAAGCTTATAATACCCAAAATTTGTTCAGTCTTTTAAAAAACTTAAATGCCAAGGCCAGATGACTGACCTGCGCAGAAGACAGAAGCTGTTCACAGATCACAAGATCTGGCTTATGCCAAGGCATTTTTTCAGAGATTTTTTTGAAAATGCAGATTCATTATTTGTTTGTTTTCACTCATTTTGCACAAGTAGGTATATTTTGTGGCTTATTTGCGAGCATCCATTCAAGGGTGCAACACAGAGTCCGTATTCTCTGATGTCCACATTCTGTTGGTGCTCTATTTTTCCAGCAAATCAGGCTTTCACTCACAGAGCAAATCATCCCAGAGCAACCCCATCACACAGCCAAAGTAATCTGTGAATCCTTGGGTGCTTTTTTTTTTTTTCCCCTATGGCTTGAAACATTAGTGTTTTTTCTAATTCTTTCACATTTTTGTGCCAGATACAACACCACTCTCAACGAGTGTGAATTGAAGCAGATGATCCTTCCAAGCTAGTGGCAGAACTGACTGAAAGTGCCAAAGGAAGTCCTCCTTTTGTACCAAGCAACACCAAAAGTCCATCCTGCACAGCTTGCTACCTGGATTTCCATCTTCAGGTCCACCTGGGTGTTAATACCATTGACTGTAATAACATTGCTTTTATCTATTTCAGGGTTGGATGCTATATACACATAGAAGGGAAGACAAGTGCACTGCTGCCACCAAAAAATCGCTCCAAGTCTCTCTCATTGATGCACGTGCATCATGTAGCTCCTCTCGGATAATGGTGCCTGTGTCTCTCTCCCCCTAAGGCTGACAGAGAGAAGTGTTTGCAAAGGAGCAGCTTCCCACTCTTGACACACGCAGATGTTATGCAGGCACTTCACGGGCTTTGTTTCTTCAGTTTGCTCAGACAGAGGACAAGAAAGGCAGGTTACTTATCACATCTCAATAAGTGTATTCTACAGGCTGTCTGCAGAATCGAATCTGAAGTTCCAGGCTGTGAGATTTGCAAGGCAAATCACCATGTCACTGACAAGAACATTATTGTTCTAATGTGCTTTACAAGTGCTAGAAACTGGCCAAAGAGCATCAGAGTGATTTA